AAAGTCCTTTGTAATTAAATATTAACACCGGGCTACTATTTTTTTTTTCAAATATGCCCCTTTGACAGAGCTGTAACAAGATAACAGAGTTTGGGATTTTTGGATTAACGACAAAGCACCATTGCTGGTAATACAATACGATATTTAATGGTAATAGTAAAAAAGAAATGAAGTACGATAGATACGCGCGTTAATGGGTCTAATTATTGGACTAATTAACATAATTAGCACGATCTTACTAATGCAATAAATACAAATTCGAACACATTGACCTATACTGTACCAAGACAAAGAAAGATTTTAGGTTGATCACGAAATGAAAATATGATCTTCACAATAGCAGAAACAAATGATATTTCGTTCAAAATAACGAATTGATAGTTTTACTGACAATAGCAAAACAAATATTTCATTTTTTTTTAAAAAAAAAAGGAATTGATATTTTTACTCCATAGTAAGACACTGGGTATTACCAAACCCCTGCAAACGGCCAAAATATGTCTGGAGTAATGTATATTCTCCCTTAACTCTTTGCTACTAGTTACACTGACCAAACAAGCAAAGATTATTCGTAGTCACCTGTCCACCATTGATTCCGGAGTTTTACAAGTAGCGCACACAACTTTGGTCTGCAACGCTTAATCACCCTCAACTCGACTAGCAACGTTGGAATATTCGAAGCTTGAAAACATACGCACAGCACAGCTCAGCACTGCACACGCAGCATACGCAGCTTTACACAGCTGTACACACAGCATACGCACACAGCACAGCTCAGCACTGCAAACGCAGCATACACAGCTCTACAGCACAACACTGCAACGTCAGAAGTATGCAGTTTTATCAATAAAGCACGACGAAATTTCTGACATGAAATCAACTTAACGGTATTATGAAATAACACAAGGAATGCAAGCGTGACCACAACCCTCCGCTCAAATCAAATTTCTCACGAGTAGTTTATCCCTTCAGAATCGCATGAAGACTGAAAAACTACACATATCCATTAAAAAAAAAGTAACGTACCTTCGCAATCACTCTCGTACCACTATCGCATGAATCCAATACGGCGAATTAACTTATTTTCACCATTACGGTCACAAACCCTGGAAAAATGAACCATTTGAGGAAGTTGCCCATTTCTACTAGTTTCTACCCTGCAATAAATATGCGTTAGGGTCTAATAATCGTTCCGAACATGGCGCAGAATCTATTCTCTTTTAGTATTAGGCTATAACATTTGAATGTGATGACGTCATCATCAGTTATTTGTACTATCAGAACTTTATATATTTCTGTTCTGGAAGTTTATACAAAATTTATTAAATGATGCAATCTGTAATAAAAAGTTAAACAATTTATATTGTAAAATAAATTTTCATGACGTTATTTAGCCCGTGGTAGTATTGGGCAATTTCCTCAAATGGTTCATTTTTCCAGGGTTTGTGACCGTAATGGTGAAAATAAAAGTATAAAAGTTAATTCGCCGGATTGGATTCATGCGATGGTCGTCCGAGAGCGATGCGAAGGTACATTACTGTTTATTGAATGGGTGTGTTTAGTTTTTCAGTCTTCGTGCGATTGTAAAGGAAAAAAAAAACTCGTGAGAAAAGTCAAATCGAGCCGAGGGTTGTGGTCACGCCTGCATTGTGTTTTTTTTTATAATACCGTTAAATTGATTTCATGTTTGAAATTTTGTTGTGCTGTATTGATAAAACTGCATACTTCTCTGCTGCAACAGCACTGCAAATGCACAAAGCACAGCTCATCACTGCAAACGCAGCATACACACATCTCTACAGCACAACACCACCGCAAGACAGCACTGCAAACGCAGCATACACACAACTCTACAGCACAACATCACCGCAAGACAGCACTGCAAACGCAGCATACACACAACTCTACAACACAGCTGAAAATATATCCAATACCGTGTACTTCGCATAACAATGGTATATACGGTATTACGCAACGACGGTGTATATACGGTAAATTATATATGTTGTCAGTTTTGCATTATAAAACAAACTAGCAGGTTTCAGAAGTAAATTGGTGAATTATACGATTCGTAATACGCTAAACGGTTATTCACTAAATGCAATCTTGTAGAAATCTTGCTATATCACAGATACGAATAGAACATTAACATTTACTAAACAGCATTTACTAAACTAGTCGAAACGACAGAAATACGAAATTAAACATGATAATATAATAGATATCACAATGCATATAAATGAATAAATTACACATCTCTATAGATGGATATACGTAGATCTCAAAGTAGACCGCTGATTGACAAAACGGTCCATAATTAAGGATTTGATTTTAGGGTAAAGCATTTATACACAGGAAATGTTGCGCAACATCGTCTGTGTAATTCACGGGTTTTCCAGTCAAAAACACTCCGCACGTGCGGCACAGAATAAACCGGTCACCGTTTCGAAATAATGTAGAATATACCTTGATCACCCTCAAAGAAATAAATTTATACAATTCCGTGACATGCGCTATATGTATCTATTTTGCTAATGAAAGATTGATTAGGGACACATATGCAGGACCACACTTTGCTCTGCCAGGCGATTTTCTTTTCAAGTATTGATTCAAGACAAATTTGTAATTCAGTTTGGACTTTACAGAAGAAGGCCTGTTATAATTTCTTGTAACCATAACAACCTTTATATTTGCCAGTATACAAAAGAATCTTGCCTTACTTTTATTGATAAAATAGTGCATGTTTCCCCTGCGGGCTCTACAGTGCTAGAAGTATTCGTACCAAAAGAAGAGGGAAATATCATTTTTTCTGGAAGCTTAGATAAAGTTTAGAAGTGTATTTGATATTATATTACAACGATGTTTACTATTTAAACTTGAAAAAAATGATACATTCCAAACTTACCTTGCAGTGTTTTTGGTCGCCTCTTCCTTGAAAATCTTCCTTGAACGCAGAAATGTTTTATAAAATAAATTTAAAAATAGTCTCAAAGTTTGTTTTAAAAATGTTTCGAACCTCACAAGGTATTAACAAAGTTAACTTGTTCGCAATTAGGAAGTGGTTTGGCGACTGAATTGCAATGTTAGCGACTGAACCTATTATTTAAGCTGTTTGTCCAGATGGTGACATCATAACGTTGGGTCTACCACGTGTTTTCAATGCCAATAATTTTGCATCACTGACGAAACCTCCCATCCAATATATTTCTCTGGCTCACACCACTAGCTAATATTGGCCAATGATATCGCTTGTTACACAACATTTGCTGTGAGGTCAACCATATGATGAATGGCTTCATGAATGTCTCGAGGAAATGTGCATATATTTCTTTGTTCTATAGAATAGGAGTGAAATGCACTAAAGTGACCGATGTTTTTGAAGCCTACGGAAGTAATGTGAGGTTCCACTGAGGTACATTACTAATGATGCCCATGTGTTACCTAAAATAAACTTTTCAGATGAAATATAGCAAAATATTAGTTTGTACTGCTAATAAAATCGTCACTTAATGTGTGAGTTAGTACCTACAAGTCGGTTAAGGACCCAGTTAATGTTCCGACAGCTCGTCCTATTTTTCACCCACCATTAAACCATCATTTACTTCCCTGAAAAAACAACAACAACAAAATAAAAAATAAGTTTACAACATGCTTTTCTGTTTCTAATTTATTTGGTGTTTGTATTTATTTTTGTAATCATTTCATTATATGTTGTTTTTTGTAATTCTTTTTAAGCGTTGTCAAATGTTGTAAAGCGCTTAGAGCTTCTAAAGATTAGGCGCTATATAAAGTTCTCGTTTTTATTATTATTATTATTATTATTATTATTATTATTATTATTATTATTATTATTATTATTATTATTATTATTATTATTATTAAGTACATATATCAAACAAACATTGTCTTGTCACGGATTGTTTGAATGGCCAAGACGTCAAAATTAGAATAGCATAGGTTCTGTATTTTTACCAGAGAAAGAGATATGAACAACGTTTTATACCCAATATAATTAAATATTGGAATATTTGTTACATGCATCTATCCATCTATCCATCCATCCATCCATCCATCCATCCATCCATCCATCCATCCATCCATCCATCCATACATACATCCATACATACATACATACATACATACATACATACATACATACATACATACATACATACATACATACATACATACATACATACATACATACATACATACATACATACATACATACATACATACATACGGTATATCAGTAAATGAATCGGACCCAATCAAAAGCATGACTAGAATACAGTATTAGGTTACGAGGAATGCCCTCTCAACTAAGTAAAATAAACGAAGCGATAAAGTCCATCAAGTGTAGGATATCCTACGATGATGGTCGTATGTTTTGAATACATTCTGTCGTCATAAAATGTGGAAGACAACATTCAAAGTTGACCTTCAATAATAGCAACTTATGCAGTAATGGTGGCGGTGAGTAGACTATTTACGAAAATATTAAAAACATGTTCACAAGTGAACTATCTTTTGATAAACGTCTTAATTACACCTGCCTGTTTAAAACTAATCCTTGAGATTTTATTTTCTAAATGAAATCTTCCTCGAAATTAGTTTCATGCTAAAAGAAAGTCCGATGCAAAAGAATAGAATAGTTTTCGATTTAAGGACGTCTTGTAGTAACCACAGTAATTCGCCATCAGTCAACATTAAATCAGTTCTAAGAAACGTGTGTGTGTGTGTGTGTGTGTGTGTGTTTGTGTGTGTGTGTGATTTTGAGTTTTAACATAGCTTTAACAATTTTTCAGTCATATCACTACGATGTCTGCAGTGTGGCAGTTTATAGCGATGTCTAGCACTGGGGCATCATTCCGCAGACAAGTAGCATATGTTTCACCCAGTCATATTATTCTGATACCAGCATACCAGTCCTAACAATAACCTCTTAATGCTGAGCGCCTAGAGAGGCAGCTGATAGTACTATTTTTATGTCTTTGGTATGACTCGGCCGGGGTTCGAACCCTCGACCTCCTGCATCCAATACGAACGCTCTAACCACTAGGCCACCGGAGCGGTAATAGTAATTACGCATCAAACATTGCAAAGCAAAATAATTAGCACTTAATCAATTCAGATAAACAATAGGAATAATGGATCAGACACTACAAAACATTCATCAACCTTAAATCATTTCATAGGAAGAATAGGAATAGTGGATCATACATTACAAAACCCATTAATCAACTTGAATTAATACCGAGAAACAATAGAATTAATGGATCAGACATAACAAAACACATTAATCAACCCTGAATTAATTCTGAAAAACAATAGGAATAATGAATTACACATTACAAAACGAAAGGCCAGAGAGACCCAATAGAAAATAATGCAGAATACAAATATTGACTAATTAGTTTTAATGAGTGAAAAGATGCTGCAAACTTTTACATCATATAGGGATTTAATTCCTTTTTGCTAGGCATAAAACGAGTGAAAGATAGCCTGTAGATATTTTGCCGCCAATAGACAATATGACCTATAACAAAGCCCCAGCAAAAGAAAGGATGCGGTAATATGAGCGTAATCTTGCTCTGATTTTTAAAGTCAATTGTACCTAACTGTAGCAGGTCCCAAAGCGGACTATGTCGTACAAAATCTTAGTTGCAAAGACAAACTACACGATCCTTTGTAAATAGGTCAAACCACATGGTGTTTGATCCTTTGTAAAAAGGTCAAACCGCTGATTCTTGCTGTGATGTCTGTTAAGAAGCGTAGTGAGATTTTTTTCTATAATAAGAGGTATAATACGACTTTGGAGTAGGAAAGAACTATAGGAGCTTGTATCCAGGGCATCGAAGCCGATTAAAAAAAATGTTGTAAAGTATATTACCATTGTCTTGAAATTAGAACAAAGAAAGCTGTCTTGTATTCAATATTAATACCGGCGCAGTATCGATGACGTAATAATGGAAAGACATTCACCGTTCCTCAAACATGTACCTAGAGAAAAGACAGGCGAAACAGCAAGATTAGTAGAAAGATCGACCCAAAAGAAGGCAACAATTTTGACTTATCAGGCTTAGAACTTTGTTGGGCAAACATTACCGTACACACCTGTCGTGGGGATTGAAACAAACATTTGTTGCAAGACTAATTATGATGAAGGAAACTAATTTTTCGTCCATTATGTTAACGGCATGAAATTTCGAGCGCAAAAGTCGCATGTACAATGTGAGGTGCCAAATAGCAAACATACTAATTGAAGACATCTAGTAAAGGAGAAGTCACGTCTTTATCCAGTTACAAAGATCCAGTATATCATTAAAATGGTATCCTAAATTGACAAAGCCGAAACATTCCCAGGCAAGAAAACCCTCACTGATAGATAGATAGATAGATAGATAGATAGATAGATAGATAGATAGATAGATAGATAGATAGATAGATAGATAGATAGATAGATAGATAGATATACAGAAAGACAGACCGATAGATAGATAGATAGATAGATAGATAGATAGATAGATAGATAGATAGATAGATAGATAGATAGATAGATAGATAGACAGATAGACAGATATATATACAGAAAGACAGACCGATAGATAGATAGATAGATAGATAGATAGATAGATAGATAGATAGATAGATAGATAGATAGATAGATAGATAGATAGATAGATAGATAGATAGATAGATAGATAGATAGATAGATAGATAGACACCTAAGAGAAATTGAAATAGAGAGCTAAACAAAATTACTAATTAAATTGGGGTTGGTGCTATAAAGAAGAAATATGTCTGAACCTTATTTCTCATGGAGACTGGATGAAAATATGCAAACATCTGGCCATAGAAAGCTCTGTATTTTGCTTTTGAAAGTGGCATGTGGCTCGAAAAGTGAACTAGAAAGGTGATCACAGAGAACAAATGCCCTACCAACCTCTTGGTTTAAATGCCGCTGAAGATAAATGTGCATGAACAAGTAAGCTAAATGCAAATTCAGCTAAGTCATTGAGGCTTTAAGTATCAATTTGAGTAACTATATTTGGTGATATGGCGTTGTACTCGCCAAGATAAACCCAAATACGAAGCTGCGGCTAACGAGGTTTCAGAAACTGATCTGAACGCACAACAATAGGTGTCACTGAAGTATAGATGACTGTGACCTAGTACTATTGGTAGTTTGACGTTCTAGTTAAGAAGACAAATCAGCGTCCATAGTTGTGCATCCCTGTAGTGAAAAGAGCCGAGAAATATAGAAGCAAAAAAGTAATTAAAGTCAACGAAGCGTATAATGTAGTCACAGTAAACTGCCGTTTAAAATATTGGACGAAATATCTGCATGCAAGGTTGGATGACTGTAAACTACAAAACTAGAGATAGTAATCTGATGCAAAATTTAACCAATGTTACTGAAGCGTAAAACTGATTTAACATAAATCTACTTTTGAAACAATGGTATTTCCTTTAACAAGACGCATGTGCAAGTGAAGTTGCATGTCTCTGTGGCTAATAATATTTAAAGAAAAGTGATCCAAGTGCACAACTCAGGTAAAATCACTGTCACTTTGACCTGTGTTTGATAGAATGGTATCGGACTCACCTAAAAACAAAGTTGTATGTCTGAGACCATCAGTATGTGATAAATAGATGCAAATAAAACTTTTTATACATGTCAGATGCAATGACAATGGTATTATTATATACCTCTTCCACATTTATAACAGGGCACTAAAATAGTTTGTGAACCATTAACCACCAAGCCACAAAATGATTCAGCTGAAACATCTTGCAAAGGCTAGAGTGAGGTGTGGTCTTCTTCTAATCATAATCGTATAAAATACTCAGACAACTTTCAAAGGCGTTGCTATTTAGTTGTTTCGGTGGGGGTTTTTTTCTCACGGGATGCATACAAAATTGACTGAATGTACCAGACAAAGTTTTCGACTAAGCATTGCCAACGAGTTCCCGATGTGAATTAGTAAGTCACTTTTACTATCGTTACCACAGGACAACCAGCTGAGTTCTTGTTCAGACCACCACATCTAAGGATCTAAGTCAAGTATTTACGAATATGCTAAAGGATCGGACTTGGAACATTTGTTTTTCTATAGTTCCCTTGAACATTATAATGGATACTTTTGAAACTAACTCACGAGAATATTGGAATTAATTATTTCACAATCCCAATAATGGGTGTAAAACAAAATACTTGTCCATTTATGAAAAAAACTAGTTGCTTAAATATCTTTACGTCGATATCCTCATGTATATGGTTTTATTTACGTCCATATCCACTGTAGGTGGTCTTATTTACGTACATATCCACTGTATGTGGTCTTATTTACGTCCATATCCACTGTATGTGGTCTTATTTACGTACATATCCACTGTATGTGGTCTTTTTTACGTACATATTCGCTGTAGGTGGTCTTATTTACGTACATATCCACTGTAGGTGGTCTTATTTACGTAAATATCCGCTTTAGGTGGTCTTATTTACGTAAATATCCGCTGTATGTGGTCATATTCACTGTAGGTGGTAGCCCTACTCATATGATAGTGCTCCTGAATGGAAGGAACAAACTAAGTTTTTAATAATCTGGAACAAGATATTTTCAAAGTAATACAATGCATCCAGACCCATTAAATGCAAACGTTTATGCCATATTTAATTATCAAATGCTCAAGGGATGAGCAAGCCACTATTTTTGCAGTTTAAGAATCTCTCAGAGAACACTATTTCCTAAGAATAAAAAAAAAACACTGCAGTACTTATGACATTTTTTAACAAGGCAACCTGAACGATCCATTTATGTATACACCAATATCACTCATATAATTATCTTTAAGAAAACGATCGACTTTACATGTACCAGTTAGGAATCGCACCTGGTCATTCTTCTCCTCGCCATCTCATCAGTATTTATCATCAAATTTGTGGCACTTAATAATAATAATGATTGTATATGTATGGTTTTCTACCATATCTCCAGATGTGTTGACATGGTTTGCAATTATTAGGAAGCAATGAAATTAGATAAATAGTACTCAAATCGGAAAGAAATCAGTAGGCGCAACTAAGGTCTAGTAAATCGGAATGCAATTTACTTCAAGCAGGTACTACAATGGCCAGATTTAGAAGAGTTATTCTTTCTTTCATGCATGAATTATATTGTGTCTGTTTACTTAGTCAAAACACTGATCCTGAACCTCTACAAACCAGGAACAACCAATCGCCAATAACTTTTAGTACACCAAAACCCATGTAGTTTGCTGAAGTCTTGCTCTTACAGATAGATAGTAAAATTTAATCACAACAAAAACGATGTATGCTCGTTAAAACTAAATTGCTAATATCTCTCCCAAATCTAGTCTTTGATAACGAAATACTTAATTTTTTATGCTATTATAAACAATAGGAGTAGTTGTTAGCAATGATAGAGAATGGTCATGTCATATATATATATATATATATATATATATATATATATATATATATATATATATATATATATATATATATATATATATATATATATATATATATATATATATATACATATATATACATATATATATATATATATATATATATATATATATATATATATATATATATATATATATATATATATATATATATATATAATGTATGCAATTTTGTGTATAAACTGGATGATATGACCTATGGCACTAAAATTTAAATGAATCCGTAGTATGAGATTAGGTTTAAATTTTGATTTTTACCATGATTAAACAACATTACACCAGAAAGGTCGTTTCTGACTGGCTGATATTGGAAATTCAATTGTAAATTCAAGCTTCTCCAGGCATGATTAGCTCTAACGTTATGCGACGGCAGATTCCAGTCTACGCAGTTGGTTGTGCTTCAGATATGGCCAAATAAGCTTTAAACTTCCATCACATCACTAGTCAATAAACTAAATATAAGCAATCAACATTACTTGTATTTCATTATACATACATTCTTTTCTTTGAAATAATAACATCATTTACATGGTCTCATATTGTTTAATCTATAATATAGTTCAAAGAAGTTAATT